TAAGCCTCGAGGACTATTAAGCCACCTTCCTCAATTGTGGCTTAAACTTAGTGTTTTCTAATTGTTTTGTCATCGTTCGAACATTTTTACCTGTATCCAAAGTTGAAAATTGGTGAAGATAATTTTGTTATTCACAGAAGCTACAGCTTTGCACACTTTGCTTCCGTCGCTTATCTACAACTTTTTATGTTCTCCATATCCACTGGAATTACATTTATTTTATAATTTCTTTTTAGCTCTTAACAACTGTGAATTGTTGGATTTTGAATGGCGTGACTAGTGACAAGATATATGGTGGGACACCAACTTTTCTACACTTTTATCATGTTTCCTTAATTCTACTCTGACCGGCAAGGAATCAAAGGTTCTGAACTCTGAAATATTACTAAGAAATGACTGGTATATACCGATTTCTTTTCACCTGAATTGCTGTCCAGTGGACATTTTAATGATTTAAATGTTTCTCTTTGATAAATAGAGCAAACATTTCATTTTATTTCAATTGTAATCTGAAAAGAATAAGATTTAGAGCTGTTTGTAACTTGGTAACAGATTTCTTGTACCCTTGCAGCCGAATAGCTAAGTAGAAGACGGAACTATAACAATAATCATAGGATATACTAGCAAGAAGACAATGGTAACTGTGGTAGACACCATAAGTTGAACAACTAGAAGATAAGCTTACCTTCTAATGAGTCAAGTGTGGCATTTGTAAATTAATTAATAAATATGTGTTTCAGGGACAACAGCTGTTTGGGTTCGGGTTGAGACAAAACAGTATTAGTTTGTTTTTTTTATAAATAAAGGATTTTAATTTTCTCTTTTCGCAATAGTATCTTCAGCGATCGTAAGGTTCCTATTATTTAAGCCCTTCCTCAAAATGGCTAAAATTTTATAAAGAGCCTTATAATTAAAACTTTGGAATGTCTACCTGATGATTTAGTTTGAAATGAACATATGTCCCAGTTTCACACATATGTTTTCGAAACCACTAGATTTTTACCTAAACAGTTCTGAATTTATCCCTAAAAGTTTTTGCTATGAAGTCACGGATGTTGGGGGGTTTAATCTTGCTGTCTTTTTGCAGTAGAGCAAAGCTACATTAGCCTATCTGCTGTGTCCACCGAGGGGAATCGAACACCGGATTTTAGCGTTGTAAGTCCTTAGTCTTATCGTTGTTATATAATAATTAAGCTTCACTATCATCCGATTTAATTCCACGTGACTATGTGATTTTTAATAACTATTCTCGTACAGGGGACATTTATTAATATCACTTTCTTCTGGTGCATCTTTAGTTTGTTGTGGTTTTGAACCAATTAGTGTGCTGAAGACTCTGAGATACGACTATATATATATTGAGACGTTACTGGCGAAAGCTCAGAATCATTTTAATCTGTACGGGGATTTAAGCTTGCAGTATGTAAGCCTCTGGGTTTATCCGGTAAGTTAGAAGCCTATAGCATATGAAGAATCGTAGATCATATACTATACTCTATAGTTCACTTTAGATTTGTGAAATGGGAGGGGGGCATACGAAGGCACGCTTGGTATTTGGTATCTTCAACCCGTACGACACATGGGCTAAAAGAGTTTCGGGCAAGGGAGGGAGGGGCAAACAATTAGCAGTATCGCCACTTGCTCTTAACTGAAGATTAGGATAGACTGTCACGGTTATAACGTTTCTGCAGCTGAAAGTATGGAGCGTGTTCAATGGCGGGACTCGAACCTTGCACATTTAGATCTGCAACCTGGTACACTAACCACTAAGTCATTCACATCCACAAAGACAAATTCACATCTGAAATTCAGCTCTGTAATTTTTCTAGAAACTTCAGCATGAAGTTCTCCATTTGTGATCCTAGGCAAACATGACAGTAAAGAAGAAACAAAAAACTTACTTACTCTGTAAACAGGTCCAAGTTAGTGTCTGCGAAACTCAACCTAC